TCCTGGACCTATTTTGAGTGCCAGTCCACCCCTGTGTTCAATATACATGTTTCCCAGCCATTTACATATGTGGGATTATTTGACAATATTTTTGAATGAACTCAAACAACATCAGTAAGGATTTTCTCATGTATTCCACCAACAGTGTTTCCCTAGGAGAACCAACAGGTCTTACATTGGCGTGCTTTGGCACAGAGTCATCTGTTGCCTTCAGAAAACCAAATTATGAATAGACGCATACTGAGCTGTCTTTCTTCCTAAATAGTGCAAATGCAGTTATTCTTCCAAGAAATGAATAAGGAAAAACTGAATACTGTGAGTACAGTGCAGCATTTTTCAAGCACTCCAGAAAGAATGGAGTGAAACACTCTATTTATGCTCATGAATAATCGTCTGGCCAATGTTCTGTCAAAATTGACAACTCATGTTTATGTTGGGAACGTTGAATAAAATGAGACAAAGAAATATGGTTTACTTATTATCTAAAGTTTCAGTCTAAGATAAAGAAAATGAATGAAAGATGGAGGAGGTATTTGATATTTCCTAAAACATTAAAAATGGGAAAATTGTACTGATAGTCTTGCAAAATATATATTTTTAGATATGACCTATCCTACAGGTACTATTTTTATGGCCTTTAATTGTCGATTTTATTTTTTTTACATCTTTTTGGATGAAATCTCATAGGGTATGTCTACACTACCCCCCTAGTTCAAACTAGAGAGGCTAATGTAGGCATTCAAAGTTGCAAATGAAGCCCGGGATTTAAATATCCTGGGCTTTATTTGAATCTTCCCATCCGGGCGCCATTTTTCAATCCCCCTAGTCCGAACTAGCTGCCCACTGCTACACGTGGCAGTCAAACGTTAACTCGAACTAAGTCCTTAATTTGAGTTAACTGTTACACCTCATTTCACGACCTATCCTACAGGTACTATTTTTATGGCCTTTAATTGTCGATTTTATTTTTTTTACATCTTTTTGGATGAAATCTCATAGGGTATGTCTACCTCGTGAATTGAGGTGTAACAGTTAACTCGAACTAAGGACTTAGTTCGAGTTAACGTTTGACTGCCGCGTGTAGCCGTGGGCAGTTAGTTCGGACTAGGGGGATTGAAAAATGGCGCCCGGATGGGAAGATTCAAATAAAGCCCAGGATATTTAAATCCCGGGCTTCATTTGCAACTTTGAATGCCTACATTAGCCTCCCTAGTTCGAACTAGGGGGCTAGTGGAGACATACCCATGCTTAAGAGTCATTAGACTTAGAAATTCTGTGTAGGACATATCCTTGTCTGGTATATTCTCATATAAATTAAGAACAACATAATGGATTGCAGCAAAAGTAATTCCAGATTTAAAAAAAATGTAACTTCAATAAGAATTTGATCATGCCAAATTCAGTGAAGACCTAAGTAATTTTGTAAATTACAGCGTATGTATAATTGACAAAGTAATACCATTTATACAGGGTTAGGAATTTTACAGGTCTGCAAAATAATTTTAATTTCCATTATGACCAATTTTGTCGCTGGTATAAGTGGGAGAAACTTCAGTGGGCCTGAGTCTTCATTGTGTATGCCTGAATTGCTCTGACACTTTTTTCTTTTATGCCTTTCCCCTGAAAAATGGAAGATCCACAAAGGGAATGTAGGTTCAGCATTGCAATGTCCAATTTTAGCTGTGCAGATTCAATATTCTCACCAATATGTTGAGGCTTATGAACATTTTGGATCATGTAGCTAGATAATGCGACTAATTCTAGCTGAGCTACTCCAGTTCATACCAGCTGAGGATCTGGTTTATTAAATGAGCCATCATCCACTTTCATGTAAACCTACGACAATTCCTGATTCTGTTTTTATGATCCTAAATCATGAGTCATATATACTTCTTCATGTTTGTATCAGGAAGCAAGGCAAAAATCCTATAGACCGAGTTTCAAGTTTGATCAAATCCAAAAATCTAAGAAAAACTCAGCAGTTGTAGAATCGCCTAGCTCTACACTAAAGACATCTTTTTGCAACAGTTGAAACCATCAAGTGTTGCACTTCTGTTTAAAATACTTGCAAGCACTCTTACCATTTTCTTTACTCTGTTTAGATTCTGAAGCTGCATGCAATGTGACTTCCTCATGGGACCTGTTAATTTACATGTTACCTACTTGTATTTACATGTATTTCCAAAGCCAGGGTGGAATGATTGCTAATCCATTCGTGAATTCATGTTGTTAGCAAAATATCTTTGGCCATAAGTTAATATTGCCTAAAATTGATCATATAGTATTTTTAAAAGTAAAAATAAATAGGCCCCACTTATAATGTCACTGGACCAGATTCAACTAATTATCCTCCAGCAGAAGAAAGTTCTCTGAAATGAGTAAGCAACAGTTAAAACTGCTCTGAAGCTCTTCGGGGCCTGGCTGGCCTAGCCCACAAGGCACACAGAGATGGACCAAGTAACTTGAATTTGTAGTGATTTTATACATCGTCAGACAACCTCTTTTCGGAGGCTCCAGTGGAATCTAAGCAGAGTTAAGAGCTGGATGCTCTGCTGAACTGCCAGTGGGAAAGCTGTGGTGACAATGCCACTTTTTGTTCTCTGAGGCAGCTGTCTCTTAGGCTGAAGAGTGTGTAAATTGCTCCTAAGAAGGGTAAATCAAGCCTAAAGTTTTGGACAGCTATATGACTTCTGTATCCTAATGAAGTTAGAAAATATACCATACATTTCTAAACTTCAGAGCTTTTATCCAGGGTAAGAGTCTCTAGGTCCAGTTGTCAGATGATACCAATGCATAATGGTTTTGTCTCCTTCCATGGAGTTCTTCACAGATGTGATGCTGATTTCTGAGAATATACAAAGGTGAGCTGTTCAGAGAGAGTAAGAAAACATCAAGGCTACATCTATATTGCACCCTTCTTCCGCAAAAGCTTATGCAAATGAAGAGCAGAGTGGAATATCACTGCGCTTCATTTGCATAATTAATTTGGTGCCGTTTTTGCACAAGAGGCTTTTGCGCAAAAAGGAGCCATCTATATAGCTCCTTTTTGTGCAAAAGCCTCATGCACAAAAATGCCCTCTAATTAATTATGCAAATAAAGTGTGGCGATATTCTACTCTGAGCTTCATTTGCATAAGCTTTTGTGGAAGATGAGTGCAGTATTGACGTAGCCTAACTATGAAACAAGTGCAGTACTTATTCCTCCCCAAAAGTCTGTAATCAGTCACTGGGGTAAGGATCGAATCCACCCTTTGGTGAGCAAAATGATTTATGCCATTTCTCAAAGAGGATTTTACAATAAGGATAGAAAGAACAGTTGGGAGAAAGAACACCACAAATTTCTGATACTGCGTTCCCAAAATGGTAAGAATGTCTTTGTAAACCCAGATCATGTAGTCATTTACAGATCTCCAAAAATCTAGACCCACGAGCCTACTATACTGCATGTAGTCTACATACAATCATGTGCAGATGGCCAGTAAAAGGCCTATACGCTAACCAAGTACCGCTTTGTAATGATTGCAACATATACTTTCCAGTAGTTTACATTTATAGCTATGAAGCAATTGAATAAAGAGATGCATCATCATTTCCTTTTTTTAAACACACAGGAGAATTATTTTACAAACATATGAAA